AAGCTTCAAGATGAGCAAAACAGGTAAATGACGGTGTAGAAGTGCTTCTCGGTCATTGCGCTTGTTGAATGTCAATTGTAGAAGCGTCCTTAACAAGGCCACAGATTTGGAAAGAATTTTGCTCTGTCGTGATCCTGATATCGCCGTTCTACTGAGACTTGGCTAAATGCTACGATATATGACAGTGAATTTGTCCCTGTTGGCTACAGTGCACCCAGGAAAGACCGTGGTAATAAGGGTGGTGGTGGTGCGTATTTTTTTAAGAACTTCCTAAATATAGTGAGCATGCCTGAAATACCTGATACCGAGTGTATGTTTTGCAAAGCGTACGATGGTAAATGTAAATACATTATTGGGGCATTTTATAGACCCCCTGCATCCTTTACGGCTGTTCTTGATAATTTAGAAAAGTATCTCGATACACATGTGAAGCCTGGCGATCGAGTTATTTTGGTAGGAAATTTTAATTTTCCAAACGTTGACTGGTCAAATTTTTCACTGAAACATCAAAATGATATCTTAGGGGAAGCAATGTTAGACATGGCCTTTAAATTTGACTTACTGCAAGTCGTCGAGGATTTCACGAGAATCCAAGAAAACTCTGCATCTATACTTGACCTTGTTTTCGGAAGCGGTACAATTTCGTCTAAATCTAGATGTGAAGTAATCCCTGGTATTTCTGATCACAATGCAGTATTGTTAACCTTAGAAAATGTTTCTGTAAATAGAAAAACCAACTCGAAGTGTTATCCAAATTTTCCCGTGCAGATGATGCCTCTATTATAGACACGCCTTCATTTAATTTAGACGATTTCGTAAACAGTACTGGTGATGTAAATTATCTTTGGAATTGGTTTAAAATCATTGTAAGTGAATGTATTGACTGTTTTGTGCCAGTAATTATAAAAAAGCAGAATAAAGAGAACCCCTGGAAAACGATTGAAAAAGAAAAAGAAAACAAGCAAGTGTTTTTTTTTATTTGTTTGTTTTTATTTGTTTTTTTAAGTGTTCACTCCCTTGTATAATGCCCCTTGGGCCCTCAAAGAATAATAAATGATAATGATGATGACTCGTGTGAACTGACTGAAAAATTTCTTGATCTTTCTTTGCAACTTAAAACCCAAGTTACAGTTGATAAAAGTCGGTATTTCGGCGAATCTTTGCCAAACTTTATACCTACTTCACCGGAGAAATTTTGGCGAGTAATATCTCCACATCCCAGGGATCGTGATGTTTTCGAAAATGGTGGTGACTTAACCCATGACGAAAAAATAATTTCAAACGCATTTAATAAAAATTTTAAATCGGTGTTTACTCAAGACGATGATGTGTTACCAAATTTTGACGCTGACTATCCGCATATGCCTGATATTGTAATTAGTGAATGTGGTATATTGAATATGCTTTTGAAATTGTATCTAAAAAAATTCCCTGGGCCTGATGGTATCCCCAATGCATTTTTATCCAGGTATGCTGAATGGGTCTTAAAATATTTGTTTGTTCTGTTTTCACGATCGCTGTCCAAAGGTCAGGTTGCAGACGACTGGAGAACGGCCAGAGTCAAACCACTTCATAAGAACGGAAACAAGCACTGCATTCAAAATAATTGTCCGATTTCATTGACTTCAACTGCCTGTAAACTTCTTGAACATATAATATATAATCATTTATCAAAATTCCTAGACGAACACAACATCTTGACAAAAAACAGCATGGATTTCGAAAAGGTTTTTCAACATGTACTCAATTATTTGAGACTGTTCACGATTTCTCCTGGGCAATAAACAATGGAAAACAAATTGATGTTATTTTTATGGATTTTCCGAAGGCATTCGATAAGGTCTCTCACAAAAAGTTAGTATACAAATTAAAAGAAAATATGTAAGAACACACAGTTAGTTAAATGGATTTCAGCATACCTTTCAAATCGTTGACAATTTGTAGTTTATGGGGAATATTGCTCTGAACAACTTTCGGTTGACTCTGGCGTTCCCCAGGGCTCTGTGCTCGGACCTCTCCTTTTCTTGTTGTTTATTAATGATATAGTAGAAGATGTTCCGGTAAAAATCAGGTTATACGCTGATGATTGTATAATTTACTCAAAAATAGCTAGTACTTCCGATCAGCTTTTGTTAAATAGGGCTTTTCAAAAATCACGGAATGGTGTACGAAGTGGCAAATGACTATTAACTTTGAAAAACGGTTTTTATGAGAATTACTCACAAAAGAAATCCTTTGGAATTTGTTTACAATACTAATAATATTCTTCTGTCAGAAGTAACACAATATAAATACCTTGGACTATGGATCACTCATAATCTTACTTGGACAAAATGGATTGATTGCGTAACATCAAATGCTCTTCAAAAGTTATTATTTCTTAGAAGGACGCTAAGACTTTCTACCCCTTCTTTGCGTCTTCTAACATATAAAGCCATAGTCTTGCCAACATTAGATTACGCGTCTATCATTTGGGATCCCTTCACCAAAGTAAACATTGACAAGCTGGATCGTGTGCAGAAAAAGGCAGCTCGCTACATTTACAAAGCTTTGGACGTACCTCTATAACCGAACTTTTAACCAGAGCTAACTTAAAAGTCATTATCTCTCAAAAATCAGCATTCTCGACAAAAATGTTTGTATCAATTAATAAATGGACATTGTAGGATAGATCTGTCTCACTTAATAAACTTCTCATCAGGCTACGCTACTCGACAGAGGCATACGCTAACAATAACTTTTTTTCGATCGCATAATAATTGCTTCGAGTACTCTTTTTTTCCCGCGAACGGTGATTGATTGGAATAGCCTTTCTGAAAGTGTTTTTATGCAGCCATCGTTGTCTTTATTTGAATTCATTCTAAATTACTTTTGTCCCTCTGAAAAATATTTGTTCTTTTGTTTCTGCCACTTGTTTGCTATTTTGTATGCCTGCATGTCTTGTGAATCAAGTGTATACCCACCTCCTAAAATCCCTTTCAGAGATTCCAGTATCAATAAATAAATAAGAGTATACCACCGCGTGTAGTTTCCTTTTCTTTTTTTCTTTTGGGGGGGGGGGGGGGGAGGGGGAGTTGTCGTCGTACAGACAAAAAAAAAAGGGGGGGGGGGAGAAGTTGTTCTTGCTGGGATGCAGAACTGTCTCTCACCAAAAAATTAAAGGGAGCGAGGGGAAAGGGAGTAAGAGTGACTATGAATGATGTTGTGAATCACTGGCACGCGCTCACTTGTACACACACATATGTACACACGCACACACATACACACACATAGATGGGCACGTCTTGCTCCAACAAAGACAAAACTTGTCTTTTTTTGCTTGGTGTCCACTGTCACAGCCTCCCTTCCTTTTTCTTTTTTACTTCTATGTGTATCATAGCAAAAAAAGGATGATGGAAATGAAGTGTAATACACCACAAAGATCAGAGTCAGCGCATTGTGAGTGTTTGAAAATTCTTTTTGTGTGCGCCTGTTTCCTTGCGCTGTGAAGTGTTAGCATGAATCACCAACTCGCCAAAGCTCAAGTATTGCTATTCAAACTTGGTGGGCTAGACAATCCGGAAGTAAGACTCGACTGCAGCGCTGCTAGTTCTCGCGACCGCCACTGAGCCCACGTCGCAGGCGGAGCTGTGAAACTGAGCTTGCTTCAGTAACGTTAAAGGGAACGACGACGATGCCAATACTATCTCTATTTTACCATCTTGTAAAGTCTAGATATTTTTTTTTTATTTTATCATTTTTTTTTGAGCTTTTTCTAGATTCGTAGATTGAATGAAATTCAAGTTTTCCTTGCTGGAAACGAGGCGAAATTGAGTGTTATTTAGAAACTGCTTTGCAAATAATCAGCCGCTTAGGTAACAAACTCAAATCAATAAAATATCGGGGAAAATATTTAGATGCTTCATTCATATCCAGCGGCTTTCAAAAAAAAAAAAAAAAACAACTAGAGAGCTTTTTTTTCACGAATGATTGGAAGTTTCTTAACTGCCCCTTTATATAAATAATTACAGACGCGAACAATAAAGGGAGAAACACAGGCAAGGAAGAAATTTCGGTGGTTGCGTAAGTATGCCACTTTGTCCACGCCCTGCAGAGGCAAACACGGCATTCTACACCTAAACAATAAGAGGTATTGGGCGCGATTCTAATACATTGACCACTGTCGATCAAGCTCATTTCCACGAAAAGAAAAAATCGCATGACAATTGAATTTCTCTCTCTCTCTCTCTATATATATATATATATATATATATTTTTTTTTTTTTTTAAAGTTTAATGCTGTTTATTTCAAGGGGGAAATATTTCGAGTAGTTTCAGTAGTAATCTTGTTTCTTCTAAATGCAGTAATTTAAATCTTAGCGGCCATTTGGAAGTATGACAGAAAGTCGAATAATAAGAGGTCATACCTCGGAGGTTTATGAAGCCATTGCAGTACTCATATTAGTCGGAGGGAGCAAGAGCGTTCGCCTGCACTTGCACTGGCCGACCCGACATCGACTCCACAGCAGTTCCTTGCATTTATTAGAGATAATATAGTGAGGGTGCCGCCGAGCTGGTAAATGTTAACCTTGTTGAATAAACCTGAGACTGGGGCAGAAATGAACGCATAAGTTGAAGGAACAGAAAAGGACAGGACGACGTCTCAGACTCAGCTACCAGGTTTATTTAGTCCGCCTCCTTATGTAGCCCACAGCCAGTCGCCACCAACACAAAGGGGCATCCTCTGAACAGTCAAAACGCCAAACCCTCCAATACACAAAGTAGTACTATGGATGGCCTTCAGTCCGACTCACAAAAATCTCCCCCAAATATTAAAAAAAAAAAAAAAAAATTAAAAGAAATCAGTATTTATTTTATTCTAACCTGGGTTCAGAAGAAAAACCAAGCCTTTCGATAAATGGTTTGCATTTATCGAAAACTGTTTTGGAGAGTCTGAAGGGCCAGATCATTTAGACACCTGTGGGTGGTTATGGATTCGGGATCCGTAACGTCTGGCAGCATTTTTTTTTTTCTTTTGCTTGTTTTAAACGTGTTGTTTTGGAGTAAACTTCCCATGAATCTTCGCTAATTAAGAGACTTATACAAAAGTTATAAATGATTTTTTCGGAAATTTCCGACGGGGAAACGGCGGCCAAACAGCGCTCCCGAGTACATGGAGCTGAATGGCAGCAGTGACCGAAAACGGGAAAAAACGGACCCCATTTTCCCATTAAAATTTGCGAAAAAATCGTTTAAAAAAACTTTTGAATAAGAATGGTTAGTTCTTAAACTTTGGCATTTTGTTCGGACCGCTATCGCTACATTTGGGTGGAAAATGAGCGATTAAGGATGCATAAATAATTCCTAAAGTAAAAAAAAAAAAAAGGGGGGGGGGGTTGTTGTAGACGGGGGCCTTACTGCAAGGACAATCCTTTTCTATGTAGTTGCAATTTGATATTACACTTCCTTTTGCCTATTTAATGGAGAATTATCATTACTTAAGGACTATCTAAATTCTTTGTCTTTTTTTTCTCTCTCTCTGTAAATGAAACTCGAGCAAGACAGTCTTCAGGTCAACACTTTTATTGTTGTGCAGCACTGGTGCAACTTTGCAGAAAAGTACAGTACCGTTCACAATTATTGTGAACCATGTTGCCTTAGTTCATGGCGCGTGCCAAAAATAGTCTACGGCCGGGCTTGATCCTAGTGTGGACATTTGTACCAAGGTTTTTAGTATGACTAGTTGTTATCCATGTTTGCCAGTGCCTATCAAAGACTAGTTTATAGGTGTCTCGAGATTCACTTAAGGTTTGTTGATGGGCGCAGGCAAAAAAATAGTTGACTTCATTTGTTCCTGGTACGAACCAAACAGTGATGACTTCTATGCTGACCAACAGAACTAACCGAGAGTACTACACCTCTCTATGCACATGATGTGTGATGACATGAAAAAATGTGAAACATAGCATCTCCACTCTAACAATCACTTGCACTCTCACTGTAGAGTCACATACATCTATGATAACAATGTCGTGCTGGTTATTTACATACATATATTTCCTTCTTGGCGGCTCATGATGCTGGCTGGAACTCTTGTTCATGACATATCACAGTCTGTTGCAGTGCTGACACATAGGGTTGCCTAGGGCCGAGTCACTTCGCCGTATGTTAACTGTATGTCAACGAGGCAATGTATGTGCTACAGCATGCTGTCATACCCTAAATAAAATTTCCCTCAGAGAGCAACACTACAGCCATCTTGGTGCCTAAAATCATTGTTGTCGGTTGCCTGAAGCTATACCTGAAATTGCAGGAAGCGCTTTATCATCCTCCAAAAATGCTAAAACTGTCCGCTGAGCTTTCCGACGATGTATCTAAAGGTCAGGAAGTTACACTTTTGAATCATAACGGTCACCAATCGCGTCGGCTCTGCACTAAGGACTAAAATGGTTGCGCCCACAGGACAGTTGGGGAATGAAGTGGTCACTACTCTAACTGTAACGTATTTAGTGGCTCTAGTCGTCCCTTGAATCTCGCCTCTCGCCCATGTCTTCTTGTTCCCTAACCGAAAGGGCAGAGTGGCACAAATGTACTGAGGAGCCCATGTTTACGTGCATGCAATGGAAGGAATACATGTTCGGGAGAAACACGACGTTGCACCGTACAGCGACAGTATGTGGGAGTCCCGACCACTTTCCCGCGGATCCCTTTCCCCGTCAGTCCGGTGCGACCGCATTGCAGTCGTTGAGTCCCGTAGTTTACGGCGGTCTCGACGTACACGTTCACAGCGAGAGCGACGGTCGCTTCTTCTTCTGTTGGTCCTGAGGTGGCGGGGAGGCCATCTTGCCCCTACCGCCGAACATGGCACCGAACACCTTGGACACCGCGACGATGCTCAACTTGCGCGTCCGTGGCAGGCTCCTGTGGAAGTAGAGTGTCCGTGCCTCCCGCAGGAAGTTGTGGAAGGCCTGTTCGACTCCGGCGCAGCCGTCGGCGGCGGAGACCTCGTAGAACTGGCAACCATAGCGCGCGCACAGGTCTTGGGCGTCGTCCACCGACACCTGACGGCAGTGTTCGAGGTCCAGCTTGTTTCCGAGAAGGAGGACCGGCACGTAGGACGGGGTGTGTAAGCGACGGACGGCCTCGATGTAGTCGACGGCTTGCTGGAAGCTGGTGCGGTTGCAGATGCTGTAGATGACCACGAATGCCTCGGCCCACCGCATCTGGTCCGTCGGAGGCAGCACATCGTCCTGGAAGAAGTGTAGAAGAATCTAGTTGGCACTCCTGTGAGATAACACTTTATTCTTGAATACAAAAAGCTCGAAATGACGAAATACATGTAAGCCTTATGTGTGGTGCATCCCAAGTACCAGGATTAGAGTAAAACCGCTCTGTTGAAAAGTCAGTTTTTTTTTCGTTTTTTTTTTCAGCTTGATAATGTGGGCAAAGCTACAAAAATACGAATGGCAAGCGTAAAATATGTAAAATGTTTCCATTTTTGTTTTTTGGCTTTATGACCGATTTTTTTTTTTTAATAAGCACCTCCCACAAAACTTCCTGCCAACCATGATTGGTGGTTTGCTCCTCCCCAATGTCGAGCGTTACCTGCCGACAAGCATTTCTTTTGTTCTACCTATACCTGTTACAGGAACTTTGGCAAGGGGGGGGGGGGGGGGGGGGGTTGATTACATGGGGTTTAATTTATCATATTTAAATATTTCGTTGATTGAATTTTACGTAATATGAAAATACTAATGTGTGCATGTTTGTACAGCCGAAAGTTTGTTAGCCTCAAAGGGCGTCTGGTGTCTCGGTTGTAGATGAGAAATTCAGCCCAGTACGACCGCTAGCCTGGGGTCTTTCACGTGCCCCATGCAGTAGCAGTGGCGTTGCCAGGGGGGGGGGGGGAGAAGGGGGCGTTGAGAATAGAGGAAAGGGTAGGGGGTGTACACCCCTCATAGAGGGTGGTTATAAGGAAATCACTGTACGTCTCCACTCTTGCGCACCAATAGCTTGTGGGCGCCGCCATTTTGTGGCCTAGCGAATGCGACGTTACACCATGAAGCGGCATACTTTGTGCTCGATGCAGAGATCTTGCGAAAATTTATAAAATGCAAAAGAAAAAAATAAATGCATTTGACTTACGGCCCATCTTGAGATGTCCAGAATCTCGATGTTGGTCTTGACGTCATCGCAGGCAACCGATTGCTTGTACAGCCAGTCTGTTCAAAGAAAGCGAGGGATAAGAGTGTTGTTAACGATTTAATGGGAAGGTTTGTTTCGACGTTCGAATCCGAACACGTGACCTCAACTTTAGTACCCCCATGAACAATCAAACTGCCCCCAAAGTGGCCCCAAACACAAGAAAAGGCATGACAAGAAAACTGTGTACTCTTGACATTTCTCCTTGCCGTGACCATTGGAATAAAAACTCTGCTCTAGACACAGTAACTTTGGAGCTAGGAGACAAAAAGGGACGCAGGGTGTCTAGCTTTAACCAGCTCGCCTGCCTACTGGCTTTAACTCTGCTCTAGAACGTTTTTGTCGCGGCTAGCGCCATTTTGAATACTGTAGCGCAATCTAGCGAGCGTCAGGTTCCGCATCCATGCTGAGTGGTTGGAAAGAAACGTTGGCGAAAGTGCTCATGAGGGTGCCATCAGCGCCGCTTCCGCGTTGGGTACCCTGGCTGGGTGCTCCAAGGTGCTGGGTATCCGACTTAGGGCGCGTCTTGTGTCCTTGTTTGCAGCGGATGGCGTTTTTCAACTAATTTGGAACGTTTCTTGCCCCGTATTATGACATCTGCCAGTGCGGCGGTGCTGAGAAGAGCGGCACTGAGGGCTCCACGGATAGAAATCGGAAATGAGTACTCAAAATATTTTATCAGTTTACGGCGATTGCATTTTTTCGTCGCTTCCCTCCCCCCTCCTTTTGGCTACGTCCACTACATCCCTGCAGGCGTCCGACGTAGATGACTCAAGAGGACTCGGTGTAGCTTTATGAAACATTTATTAATTCGTACGTCCCTTTTTTCTCCGTAACAGCTGCACGCATAATCTTACGGAAGTCACCACAACAACAAACAATACGAGCACTTAGAGTTGCCGAGATGAAAGGGTGGGGCCCTCGAACGGGGTCGGAGCCGTCGTATCTTTGTCAGCGCTGGAAGCGGCTTCTTCACTGGGTTACGCAAACAAACCTCTCCTCCCCGCCTCGACCAAAAATATATATATTTTTTTTTTGTTTCGTTTTCGACTAACATCTTACGGCTGTCTTGACTTGGCTCGTGTCAGCTACTGATGTGCCGAAGAGAAGATTGACAATCCTCTTAGTTGCCATTTTAATGTTTTTTGTTTGTTTCTTCGCGTCTGTCTGTCGTTACTGCGGCACGTACACGCGACATGCTTATTGTGTCAGGGTCGATAGGCTTCTTAAGGACACTGGAGCTTGAGTGGTGCGCGCTGTTTCATTTTTGGCGGCGGGAGCGCGTGGCGCTGTCGCGATTTTGGCGACGGGCCGTGCTCTGAAGGCCGCGTTGCGTATACATGAGCGTCATGTCGTTGTCTCATAAGTGTCACTCGTGCGTGGTAGGCGCCAATTGTCTACCAACTGCCGTGGCGAATGACCCCAGTTCGAGCGTTGAACGAGAGTGCCTTATACTTGTATTTGCAAGGAGGCCGAACAATTGATCCTGTTTACGGATAAATCCGTGTTCAGGTGTGGGCATTCCGCGTGCGCAGAAACCAGATTCGCGCGAAGTGGAGTGCATGCGCATGCGCCGTGGCGACGCCAGCGCCACCACAGCTGCGTTACGCCAGAGCCCATTCTACTAAAGTTAGAGGATAGAGGGAAATGAGCGCCTCCATGTTTGCCTGGTTTTCGAGTGGTTCCTGCGGTACAACAGCCCAAGGGAGCCGCCAAATCGATGAGCATGGTGCTTCTACCCTGCCGAATCGGTTGAAACCTTTGTGGTGGACGACCGGTTTGTCGTCTGCTATCAGGATCGGGCACGTGCCCTTTCATCCCGACGATTCCGTTGAAGTGGTCGGATGTATGTAGATGGCGCTGCAGTAAAACAAAATGGCGCCGCCCAGACAGCCCTTGTTCAGCTTGTTTTCCGCAGAGTTCAGTGTTTACCCAACGCAAGGACCACAAACTGGAATTTTTACGTCTCCACATTCGGCCAAGGGCTGCGCGAGAAATACAGAAAAGTAAATCACGTAGCTGTTCAAATGGATTCGGTTCTCAGCTTAGGTAGCATTGCGCCAACATGAATGCGAGGGAAAGAGACTCGCGAGCTTTGGTTTTTGTTTAGCACGGACGCATTAGGTTTGTGGAACTTACCAGAGTTAGACCGGTATTCTCCGATGAATCTTTTTGTCAGGAACCTTACGATGACAGCTGGAAATAAAAATCAAAGCAGTTAGCAATTGCTATCTAACGTCGCTATTAACAATCAGAGGAATCAAACAATCGTGTGCATTAAAAGAGTTCAACTAAAGCTTTCTTTGAAGAAATATACATTGTCGTTTTCATTTCAAGACTGCACCGATTATACAAAATAGTTATATTTCGAGTACTTTATGTGGATCTTGCGTAGTTTTAGATATTCGTTCGCATATGAAGTGAAACAAACTATAATGCCACAACGAGCCACGTCTCCAAGCAGCATGGTTGATGAACTGACTCGTCCCAAGCTTTCCCGTCCCATGGTCGGCCTTGTTTTGTTTCGGCGGGTTGTGGCAGCCATGACCCGACTCGTTCGAGTAACGAGCCGTTCCCCCGCACAAACGCAACGCTGACGTGGGGCGCCGTCTGAGTTTATTTGGGGACGAGTAGTCGATTAAGAGCAAGCCCGACGTAGCCCGGCCACCGTTTCCGTGACGGATGACGGGATCGGGCCAAGGTCCGAGACCGATTGAAGACTCGACGCTCAGACCAGGGCGCGCGAAACTGACGCACAAATTTCGCGGTCTGATTAATGTATCAGCAGAAAGAAAATCACTTTTGAAAACTTGCTTTTCAAACTTTACAAAAGTTGTTTCGAAGTTACAAAAAAACAAACAAAAAACAACAACGTTGTTGTTGTTTTGCAGATTGAAAAATAGAAAATGTCAGGATCTGCTGAACGCCGCAGCGTGCAAACGTTTGATTATTTTTACTGTGAGTTTAGTTTTAACGTATATTTGTATACGCTTCAATCTAACCTCACAATTCCACGCGTACTTTTTTTTTAAAGCTTTATGCGCCGTTTCTGATAGAAAAGAAAAAAATTCTGTGCTTATTTTAGCAACGTATATTTCAGGTCGATCGATCAACTCTTGGCTGTTTACGGGAGTGTGCTTACAAGAAGACGGTCTATTTGTAGTGAAACCTACCTAAAAGTATCCGTTTCTTCTTTAAACCAAAGTTATCAAAACTTACGTGCATTAAAATTACATTGAAGATATTCGCACCTTCTATCTCGCGCATTTTTATCCCCGTTTTACTCATTCAAACCTTGTCCGCCAGGCCGCGCCCGTGTTCGCTGCATCGCCCCCCAGTTCGAAGGGTTTTGTCGAAACATCTATTCATTTTGACAGACGCAAGCCTGTACTACTTGTGCAGCCTTTTGCACGTTACCGTTTCTCTCGTTCATATTTTCCTTTTCCCGCTGCGTGGCGTCACTGCAGTCCCTTCCCAGTCCTGCTCGTGCACTTTGAAAGTCTCTTAGTCGGAGTTGTTCCTCTTTTAAATAAAGGTAACTCTTGACATCTTATCTTTTTCTGCTTCGAACAAACATTCCCGCGGAATTTAGTCCACGCTTTATTTTATTGCGTGCAATTGCGCATATACTCGCGTAGCCCCCTTCCAAGAGGCACCGTCTAAAGAATGATGAATAACGCAGGCAAAGCTTTCACGCGCCGTCGACCGCTGCTGCCGAGGCTATAGCACCACAACACGTCGAAACCTATGTATACATAACTCGGACCGACCCACAAGACCACAACCAGAGGCGCCAAACCTCACGCGTCCGTAGGTATACAGACGCCGGGCAGGGCAGCCTTCTAAAAATTCTTGGCAGACCCCGAACCTTGAGGCTGACAAATTCGCCGTTTAACCCAGCTGCTCCCCGGTCCTAACCTCCCGCCAACCGACGTCGCCCCACGGGATGCATCAGTCACGGAAGGCGTTAGTGGGTTACCATCACGCCGCAATGCGTCTCGGCAAGGCGGGAAGCATCTGGCGCACGCTCGCGGTTTGGGTTGGACGGCATCACTTCATCAGGGGACATGTTGCAGCTCATGCCTGCTACTTGGAAGTAAGCAAAAGCGACGCAACGAGTAAGTTCTCAGACGAAGACACAAAAAAAAAAAAAAAAAAAAAAAAAGAATTTGAACTAAATACGTTTATGAGCGTGCCCGTTTTTTTTTTTTTTTTCGTTTGTTCGCTATGCTTTGTTAACTTCCAGCGACCCTTACCTTTATAAAGTCCTACAATGCGTGGAATGCAGTATTAGAGTAACGATAGTTTACATTTCTTTAGAAGATGTTATATTCAGCTGTTTAAGGCAGTGAAAAACGTATTGTTTCTTCAGTTCGCCGCTACATTTAGCGGCGAAATCGACATTATGATCAAGTACCGTCACATCGTGTCACGTGACGCCAATTTTCCGCTAAGTCTAGCGAAGAAATTGACGTCACGTGATCTGACGTCACGCGATGTGGTCACGTGACGTGACGTCGCTGTGTCATGTCGTGGTGTCACGTACGCTGACGTGACGTGACGTGAGGTCCATTACCTCTCTATTATAGATTGAGCGAGTAAATCCACGGACAGACGGACCAACACATTTCTGAGATTAAAGGACCCTTAAAAGAAAAAAAAAAGTTTTTTGAGCAATACTGACGGCGCGAGACGCGATTTAGTCGGCAGTCACCTCCTTTCCACTTGTTTTCTCTCTCGGCATTTCGGGCGCGTGGAGGTGAGGTGGATCGGCCTCGCCTTCACGACCGAGATGGTCATTCCGGAATGACCAGTGACGTCGTGGACTTCGCGCGCTGAATTTCAAATAAATCTCTCGCCGTCACTATTGCTCTAAAATTTTTTTCGCGTAATTTTTTTTGTTGTAAAAAGCATGTCTTAGTTTAATTTAAAAAAATCAACAACAACTTTTTTTTTGGGGGGGTTTTTATCAGGAGTTCCGTTAAAACCATTCCGTGATCTAAAAATAATCTCGCGTTGAATTCGTTAACGCACCACGGACTATTTGAGATCCGTGTAAGAGGAGACCCTAAAGTTAGGTAATGTAAAGAAAAGAAGGTTTCTTTTGGAAGGCACCACTCGAACGCCCTAAATAATGATATGCAGTAGCTAAAAAAAAAAAAACCTATGGTCAGTTTTTTTTTACATTGCTTGCAATGCTGATTTGCTGACATCAGTACGAGGGCTTTAGTGTGCTGAAACATTGCACTCTCCCAAGAAGGATTGTCTTTGAGATCTTTTTTTCGGAAAAGCTCAAAAGGCGAAATATTTTTTTTTTTTTTTCAGAAGCAGTTTTGGACAAAGAACAACCCGAACCGTACCTTCCCATTTGTAAACCGAAGAAACGCATCGAAGTACAGGCACTCGTAGGCTGCTAAAAGCAAGTTTTTCTTCGAATGCAGACATCCAAAAAGCTTACTAAAAGCCCACGAGATAGAATTTTGTCAAACTTAGGGATCACACACTCTATAACCGTCTCACTTTCATACTCCCTAAAGCTTAGCTCATACTGCTTATATGAATTATACAAAAAGACAGTCTGGACACAGATTCGAACGCGACTCAACGCGAGATCCGCGTGCTTTGAATGCTGCATGGCAATGGTGCCCAATCTTAATTATAGTATTATACTCACACGTAAACACTGAAATGTGTTTTTCTTGCACACGACTGTATCTGTGTGACCGAAGTGTCTTGCTGAACTATACGATGTCCCGTGTGTGCCGATGGGAGCGCGTCGCACGAAACTTGTTAGAGAAGAGTGCACGTTTCGTGCAAACCTTCAGTTCGGTCACAGCGTTTCGATTCACTTGATCAAGGTGCGTATGTTGATCATGCTCTTGGGATTTGTGCGTAAGGTATAGGGAGTATTCACTGGCGGCCATAGCTCTGTGCGCGACTGCTGAGCGCGTGCTGATGGCGAGCTTCCACAGTTCTTTTGTAACGTGCATTCCGCACCATCAAGAGTGTCGGTCTTAGCAGCCTATTAATGAGGGCTTGTTCTGAGCATGCGCTCTAGACAGCACCCACAAATATGGCGCCCAGTGAATACTCCTTTGACTTCGCCTCTGATGGCATTAATGCTCGAAGGCGAGAATTTTTTTTTTTTTTTTATGCGTTGAGTACCTGGCATGGCCGGAACCATCGTGACGGCAGAAACCAAACAACCGCTTGAGAAATAATAAAAAAAAAAAAAAAAAAAAAAAAAAAAAGACGAAAAGAACTGGAAGGTGAAATTAGCCGAGTGAATGCCGGAATAAAGACGGGGTCACACCCTCGGGTTTGACTGTCACCGCGAGTGTGTTGTGCTTCCATGCGACCGCTTACGATGAGATAACACACTGCTACCATCTGTCGGGTAACCCCGGACCACTTTCATTTTGAGACTGTATCTTATCCTAGTTTGTTCTGCGCACCTTTCATCGTGAATTTGAAAAGCTTTTTGACGAACTTATACGCGACCGGCCTTCCCAGAGATAGTGCGTATATTTCATCTCGCAAACGCCACAAAAACCTCCAGATAGTTATGCGCAGTTGCAGGGCGACATAATATGGCCAGCGTGGCACCAGTGTGTTCTTTGTATTCTTAACGTAAATTCTCTCGTTGTAATTTATCGCGAGGGAGCACACTCAGGCGCAAGTTTAAGAAGCCTTCAAACACGTAACTTCAAAGACGTTGATTCAGCACACTCAAGATGAGAAGGAGAGGAGAGTCATGAATTCCCTTCATCATGTGCACCAGGCGGACAGGTCCGGCGTGCGCTAGGAGAATACAAACGTGCACCGCTTCATCACTAGGTGACGCTTTCGGGACAACAGCTTTGTGCTTACAGAACGGGCTTCGCTACATACTCGCCCCAATTCGACGCGGGGTTCTTGTTGGGTGTAAACACTTCAAAGTACACTTCCATTTTTTTTTTCGGAAGCTATAGCCCTAAAGGGGTATTCACACGAGGGAGAAATCCCGGGGATTTCTCCCCGGCACGCGCGCATCACGAGATGAAAACGCGAGGCTTTTGCACATCGCAAAGCCTGTCGTTTTCGTCGTGGGATGCGCGTGCCGGGGAGAAATCCCCGGGATTTCTCCCTCGTGTGAATACCCCTTAAGGGACGCTCTCTTTGTTCAGGGACAAGGAGGAGCGGCTCTTCCTTTTCGC